GTGAAATGAGAATGAAGTGAGTGAAGTGAGAAGTGAAATGAGAATAAATGAGTGAAGTAAGAGTGGAGTCTCAAAAAAATGTCCTGGAAATTTTGCGGCCAGAGTGAAAATGGAAAGTGAGAGCGCCACTGAAGGAAAGGTTTTGAGTTGTGATTATGACTGAGTGACTTCTTAATAGAAATCTTATTTAAAACATTTACATAGAATTATTTTGCTAATATGGTGATAGTTCATGCATTAGCAACAGGATTCATATCCAATGCTGATATTTCCATTATACTACAAAATGATAAAGAGAGAAAATACATTGAAGGCTATTTTGTATATTCCACAATATATTACTGCATGAGTGCATTAATTCAGCGTTCACCAAGAAGTATGTACAACAACTCAGACGAAGGGAAATCAGGCACAGGGAAATTAAACATCTTTGTTACAACGAATTCGACGTCGGTCCGCGTTCGACGGACGCGACACCACCTTTCACCAAAAACGGCCTCAAATCCCAAAAAATAATAATAAAATAATAATAATAATAATAATAATAATAATAATAATAATAATAATAATAATAATAATAATAATAATAATAATAATAATAATAATAATGATAATAATAATAATGATAATAATAATAATAATAATAATAATGATAATGATAATATCAAATAAATAAATAGATAAAATATACATGATAGAATAAAAAGTAAATCATTGACATACAGCTTGATGAATAAGTGGTGAAAGGATAGCGAAAGGATAAAGGAATAACAAATATGAAAATAAATATGAATGATACTTCTAATTCTGCTAACGATAATAGAAATACTAATGATAATGATACTGATGGCAAGATCGATAACAATAATGAGGTATGTAATAATAATAATAATAATAATAATAACAATAATTTCATAACATTTCTAAATCATACAATATGATATCAATAACGCTAAAACTAATGATTCCGAATACCAACAACAACAACAACAACAACAAAACCCTCGACAACAAAGAAACGTACCAACACCCATCAGGAAAAATGCCCTCGCGAACTCACGACCTCTGACTTCTGACCTCTGACCTCTGACCTCTGACCCTCACCCGAACTCGGAGATGATGAACTGGTCGATATCCGCCTCGAGGCTGTACACATCCCCGCGGGCAACGAAGTACAGGGCCACGCTGCTTATGGTCGCGTCCACCTCCACGTCCACTGTTGTGTCGCCTGAAGTCACGCGTCCCCTTTGGTGCACCTTGTGGGGGGAGGAGGAGGGGGGGAGAAGATGGATGGTGAGTGGAGTTGGTGGATGGGTTGGTGTAAGGGAAGGGTGAGAGGGAAAGAAAGAAGGGAGGGAGAGAGGGAGAGGGAGAGGAAGAAAAAGAGGAGAGAGGGGAAAAGATAGAAATAATATAGGTAGATAGAATATTGATGATAGATATAACAGTACTGATAAAAATAATAGTAATAAGTTATAAAAAAATACATAGCTAAATAATGGAAGACCAGGAAAGAGTGATAAGGTTAAATGAGAATAATAAAATAAAATATTTCCTTTTTTTTCTTCTTCTTTCCTCACTCAACTCCATTTACTGAATGTTTCCTCCATCCATGTTCATCCACCTCCACTTGCTCTCTCCTTGCTCTCATTATCATCCACATCCATTTGCTTCTTCATTTCTTTCATCTACTTCCATTTCCCTCCATCTTCCTTCCCCTCTCGTCCCCCTCCCTTCCTCCCCCCTCCTTCCTTTCCCTCTCGCCCCCCTCCCTTCCTCTCTCCCCCCTTCCTTCCCCTCTCGTCCCCCTCCCTTCCTCCCTCCCCCTCCCTTCCCCTCTCGTCCCCCTCCCTTCCTCCCTCCTCCTTCCTTCCCTCTCGCCCCCCTCCCTTCCTCTCTCCCCCTTCCTTTTCCTCTCGTCCCCCTCCCTTCCTCCCTCCTCCTCCCTTCCCCTCTCGTCCCCCTCCCTTCCTCCCTCCTCCTTCCTTTTCCTCTCGTCCCCCTCCCTTCCTCCCCCCTCCTTCCTTTCCCTCTCGTCCCCCTCCCTTACCCCCTCCTCCTTCCTTTTCCTCTCGTCCCCCTCCCTTCCTCCCCCCTCCTTCCTTTCCCTCTCGTCCCCCTCCCTTACCCCCTCCTCCTTCCTTTTCCTCTCGTCCCCCTCCCTTCCCCTCTCGTCCCCCTCCCTTCCTCCCTCCTCCTTCCTTTTCCTCTCGTCCCCCTCCCTTCCTCCCCCCTCCTTCCTTTCCCTCTCGTCCCCCTCCCTTCCCCTCTCGTCCCCCTCCCTTCCTCCCCCCTCCTTCCTTTTCCTCTCGTCCCCCTCCCTTCCCCTCTCGTCCCCCTCCCTTCCTCCTCCCTCCTTCCTTTCCCTCTCGTCCCCCTCCCTTACCCCCTCCTCCTTCCTTTTCCTCTCGTCCCCCTCCCTTACCCCCTCCTCCTTCCTTTCCCTCTCGTCCCCCTCCCTTACCCCCTCCTCCTTCCTTTCCTCTCGTCCCCCTCCCTT